GAGGGATATTGGTCTGTAATTTTCTTTTTTTGTGGTGTCTTTACCTGGTTTTGGTATCAGGGTTATGCTGGCTTCATAGTATGAGTTTGGGAGTATTGCATCCTTTTCTATGCTCTGAAATACCTTTAGTAGTAGTGGTATTAACTCTTCTCTGAAAGCTTGGTAGAATTCTCCAGTGAAGCCATCTGGGCCGGGGCTTTTTTTGGTTGGGAGTTTTTTGGTAAGAAGCACACTTTTTATGAGTATCATTTTATGTTCCATAGTCCAGTCTAATCTCTGTCTGAAGAGTTGGCCTCGGGAATGGTTTTAGTTTTAGGCTAACAGAGAGTCTGGGGGCCATGTCTTCTGGGGTCCCTCCAGTCTCAATCAAACCATTAAGTCTGGTCTTTTTACTAGAATCTGAGTTCTGCACCCCACTTTTTTCCTACTCCATCAGGAATTCTCTGTTGTGTTCCCTGTCAGGGCAGTCGTTGGTGGTAGCTGTCCTGGCTGTCTTATAGGTGTGTAAAGAGGATGAAATGAGATGATATGAAAGTGTCTGAAAAGGCCCAAAGCATTAAACGAATGCAATTTTTCATTATTAATCTGCACTCCATCCTGATTATTACTCTTAAATGAGCAATCTTTAAGTTAAGTACAGGTATCTTCCACTTCCTCATCTTCTCCAGAGTATAAGGCCAAATCACCCATCCTCTACTGTGGGCCTCTTGAAGGTGGCCCAGATACTTGCATTTGTTTGATTTCTCCTTTCTTGTCCCAGTTTCTGGCACCATTTGGTTTGGTAGCAGCTCCTTCTTGCGTGTGATGATCGCTTCTCTGCGTCTCTTGACATTTTCCCGTGGCAGTCTCCCTCTGAAGTTGACCAGCGCCTCCTTCTGTTTGAACTTAGGTTAAATTAATCATCTGACTCTCACAGCAGTCTGTTGCTATGGAGGTTACTGATGTCACACTGTCAGTATTATGATTACTGTACTAACAGGCAAAGGGATTGGTTGCTAGTGGAAACCTTCCCTCAGGTGAGACTCTTCCAGCTTTAGTAGCCCACCTGACTGCAGAGACTGTTGACCACCATGTGAAGGGGTAAGTGGATTAATCATCCAGTTGGATTCCATTTGAATATTTTCCTTCCATGTGTGTGTTCCCTCTAGGCAATTGTCATGTCACTTGAGATTGATGAGGGCTCTTTCGGGGGTTATTTTTGGGAACCTGGTGAAACCACAGACAGCTGTCCTCAGGAACAAATGTCACAGGATCTGCCTAAGCCTGCTTCTAGTAAAAAAAAAAAAAAAAAAGATTCTGAGGTACATTGTCTTTTTTTTCTAGCATTAGATTGTTCCCTAGTGGTCTAGAAGTGTTAATTCAGCTTCCCAAACACACACAAGAGGAGGAAACTGATATTTAGTAAGCACTTACTATGGGCCATAAGGAGTCCTGGTGGTACAGTAGTTAAGAGCTCAGCTGCTAACCAAAAGGTCCGCAGTTTGAATCCACCAGGAACTCCTTGGGAACTCTATGGGGCAGTTCTCCTCCGTCCTGTAGGGTCGCTATGAGTTGCAGCTCGACGGCAACAGGTTTTTTTGGTTTTATGGGCCATAAGGAGATCTGGTGGTGCAGTGGTTAAAACACTTGGGTGCTAACCAGAAGGTCGGCAGTTCAAACCCACCAGCCACTCCTGGAGAGAAAGATGTGGCATTCTGCTCCTCTAAAGATTACAGCTTTGAAAACCCTATGGGCCAGTTCTACTCTGTCCTCTAGGGGTCGCTAGGAGTCGGACTTGACTGGACGGCAGTGAGTGGTATGTGCCAGTAAGTGAGTCTCCTTAAAGAATATGATGTTCAGGTAGAGAATTGTTGAACCAGGCGTTCCTGAACAACCCTGTTGTACATAACAATTCATGACTTTTTCTGCTTGCATACAATGTTCTTCCTAATCAGACGCTGACTGATCACCAATAAAGGCAAAGTCATTACTTAAAATTGGTCTAGATCCTCCTATGCTGAGTAATTATCTTGCCGTTGTTTTCACTGCAATATTAAAAAGCCTTGAACCCTGATAGGAATGCGTACAACAAACAAACTCCTAAATTAAAAATCTCTGTAAAAGGTTGACAAATGGATTTGTCAGGATTTCGTTAAGCAGGTGGAGAGGTCAGTTTTGGGGGACAAAGGGTCCAACTGAGTAAAACTGATTGTACTTGAGGCTATGCGGATGTGTATCCCCATATCAAGACGTGCATAAATCTATATAAATAAATTTGTGCGCCAGAGAATGAATAGCCAATTTTTTTCAAACGCCAATTCAGCAATTACAAAGCATGTTGGCGCTTAATTAAAAATTACCATCTCGTTATGTTCAGAGTAGAATTACAAGTGTGAAAACTACCGTTGGCAATAACTGAAGACTGCACCAGAAGGAGGGCAGGGATAAATAACTTTTATTTAACTCAGGAAAAAATCTCTCTCAGCTCTTTCATATTTAATTAACTTAGTATCTTCTTGGAGCTTGAGTCTTACTCAGAGTTCCTGAGCAGTAGCCGGAGTTTGTTCATTTGTCCACTTCTGTGCAGAAGACTTTCTCATGTTCACTGAGTAGAAGGGTTAGAAATAATAGAACCCCAAAGACATGGAGCAAAGTGACCCCTGTCCAAGGCTTTGCACGCGGGCAGCTCGTTCTGGCAGGGACTTATGGCACAAAGGAGCAGAGAATGGTGATTTTTGCTTCGTTGAAAAAATCCAGGGAGATGGAGTTGTAAACACTTTTGTGGACTGATAAAGTTTTAGCATTTACTTGTAAGACTACCTTAACAAAATTAATATTTTACTATTTCAGAAGTTCCACTGTCAGAAAAGAGACCAAACCTGTAGCACCATGATGGACGTGAAGTGTCTGAGTGACTGTGAATTACAGGGAGAACTTAAGAAGCTTGGATTTTCACCTGGCCCAATACTACGTATGTATCAAGTATTAGAGACGAGCGTTTATTAACTATAAACTATCTCTAAAGATTAAAAACAACTCACAGTAGAAGGGACAGATACAATAAAACCCATTAAATTAGAAATCAGAAAATATGTGTTAAAATGGCGTGGTGGCGCTATTAGACCTCCTCTGTCTTCACAAGGGGGAAGGAGGATCAAGACCAAGAGCCCAAGGTTGATTCCTCGGAGGTGGAGGTCAGACACACCTCCTCTCTCCAACCTTTTTACAATTCTGACACCAGCCATCCCTCCCATGGCACTCTCTACTTCTCTGCTGGATTTGATAATTTGTTGCAGTGGCCACACAGGATTCACAGACAATACTCACAATTATGGGGTTTATTAGGGAAAGGGAAAGTCACACAGAGTTTATTACGAAGGTTACAATTCAGGATCAGGAACGACTCAGGATATAGTTCTTCAATCAGAACAATCTCTTCTCAGCCATGTCCACAGAACGGCCTCTCCCTGACTGTTGGCCCTGTGGCCCCTCAGTCCCTTGGTCCTCCTGCCTGGCCTCTGCCCCGCTCGGGCAAGTGTTACAAAGCTCTTTATCTCCACCAATAAGTGCCCTTGGACACCCACTCCACCACTAAGCTTCCTGCCCGAAGGCGCTCAGCTCTCTCGCTCTGTGGGTCAGCATGCCTACTGTAGCTATCTTGCTCTGTGGGCCAGGAAGCTCTCTGTGCCATCTCTTGCCAGTCTCCCGGTTCTGCTACTGCCGTTTCTCTGCGACCCTATGTACGACAGAACAAAACACTGCCTGGTCCTGCGCCATCCTCACAATTGTTGCTATGTTTGAGCCCATTGTTGCAGCTACTGTGTCAGTCAGTCCATCTCGTGGTCTTCCTTTTTTTCGATGACCCTCTACTTTACCAAGCATGATGTCTTTCTTAAGGGACTGGTCCCTCCTGACAACATGTCTGAAGTATGTGAGATGAAGTCTCACCATGCTCACTTTCAAGGAGCATTCTGGCTGTACTTCTTCCAAGACAGATTTGTTCATTCTTTTGGCAGTCCATGGTATATTCAATATTCCTCACCAACACCTTAATTCAAATGCATCGATTCTTCTTCAGTCTTCCTTATTCATTGTCCAACTTTTGCATGCATATGAGGCGATTGAAAATACCATGGTTTGGCTCAGGCACACCTTAGTCCTCCAAGTGACATTTTTGCTTTTTAACTCTTTAAAGAGATCTTTTGCAACAGATTTGCCCAATATAATACATCATTTGATTTCTTGACTGCTGCTTTCATGGGCGTTGGTTGTGGATTCAGGTAAAATGAAATCCTTGACAACTTCAATATTTTCTCCATTTATCATGATGTTGCTTATTTGCCCAGTTTTGAGGAGTTTTGTTCTCTTTATGTTAAAAACTAGTTAAACTTTATTATACGTAAACCTGTTTATTTGTTTCTAGTGTGTGCACTATGCTATCTATTTATTTATGTATTTATTGGAAGCCCCATGAGGAGCACAACCTTGTCCATCTTGTTCTGGGATGTATCCCAATGCCTGGCTTCATCCTAAGTGTTTGTGGAAGGAAAGGGATGAGTTGTGGGCACCCCTTCATTTTAAAGGCCAATCATGTAAGGGACAAGAACAAGAATCTGAGTTGTAAAATATCATAAATCCAGGAAGATCACATACAAAACAGAATAATCTGTTCTCTGCATTCTTCCTCAGCTTCCACCAGAAAAGTGTATGAAAATAAGCTAGTGCAATTGTTGGTCTCGGCTCCCAGTGTAGCACCGGTGATGAATGGACTTGGAGAGCTGGACGAGCCTCAGGAAAGTGATGCCTGTGAAGGTACTATCATAACCTGTACTGCTAGATAGCAACTTTGCACTTAGTGACACCTTGGCCGGCGTGATATATGTCACTTACAGTGGTGTGCAGGATGACCTGTTGTTTGCATACAGAGGCTGGAAAAGAAGGCCTCAGGGCTGCAAAAGGAATCTGTAATTCCATGTCTGTATTCACATCAGAGACTCAACGGGATAGAAAGTGGGAGGTGGGAGCGGACTGGCCAGTTTGCATGTCATCTTACTGACCGGAGTCAAATTTGTGTCTCGTTTCTCAAATCAGCAGTTCCCACAAGTAAACTTTAGGATCGCTTTTGAGGTTTCACACCTTTGCTTTGCCTGAATCAATAAATCTAACCATTATTTCCTTCAGATTAAGTGATTTCATGCCCATTAAGAAAGGTGAAAGGAGCCCTTGTAGTGCAATGGTTAAGCGCTCGGCTGCTAACCAAAATGTTGGCAGTTTGAACCCATGAAGCAACTCCAGGGATTCATGATTACAGCTTAGAAACCCTCTGGGGCAGTTCTGCTCTGTCACACAGGGTTGCTATGAGACAGAATCAACTGGATGGCATCCAACAACAACAAGAGAGGTGAACCAGATTGTACCTCCCTGAACTCCTCCAATGCCTACCGCCCTCCTGCCTCACCCAGGAGCTGACCATAGATGGTCTCTCCCTGGTCTTAATGTGGATGGGAAGCCGCCATCGCTGGGATCTGTGGGCTTTGCTGAGAGTGGTCCCCTCCCCAGGTGCTCAGCTCTCCTGCCACACCTCCTAGTTTCAGAGCTCATAGGGGGTAAGCTTGAAGATTCCCACAATACATTTCAAGGTTCTTTTATTCCAGAGATATTTATTAGAGGTTTTATATGAGCCACAGTAAAATAACAGTAACTACCATTTCTCGAGGACCAACAACGTGGCTGGCGCTTTGTGTGCGCTATCCCATTTCACCCTAACAACACTTAGCTCAAGTTCAGGGAGGCTGAGTGACTTGTCCAACATCATATGCTAGGAAGCAGCCCTAGAATGTGCCAGGAAAAGGACAGAGCTCATCTATCTTCATCACCCCTGTATGTCCAGCTCCTGGAATAGCATGAGGCATATAGCAGGAATTCAGTGTATGTTTGTTGAAGGAAAGTGACAGAACTGATGTTTGAACCCAGGTCTGACCCCAAAATTGTGTTCTTTCACCACATCCAGTGCATTTTGTATCACAATTTCTGTCAGGGTAAACTTATTACATTTTTCACCATATTTAATCTACAAAAATGGCAGTTTCATGTAGTTCAAATAGTTCAACAAACCATGCCAAGGGCCTAAAGCTTTCTAAAAACTCCCCTGTAACGCCTGGTATGTATTGGAGGTGACACCACTGCTAAGAGCTGCCTCCAAGGGCCTGGCATGACTTGCCTCCTCTGAGAAGAGCAGCAGGGTTTTGGGATGGACCCCACTGACCCCTGAGCTAGGACAGTTAGCATGGGCGTGCCTCAGGGCAAGCGGCTGCCCCAGACCCTTCCTGGCTGTGGAATGTATAGAGTCCTGTCCCAGACCTGGGCCTGCCTCTGTTTCTTGCCACAGAAAGGAGCTCAAGGGCCTACCCAGCCCCCTGATGAAACGCAATGCCAGGCTTGAAGATTCCAGCTTTCCCCCCAGGGAGAAGGTGTGTACACTCGCTGATCACGACTGCTCATGCTGCAGGTCAATGCTGCATGACCAGTATGTTGTGGTCTCAGGTCAAGCTGTCCTAGCCCCAGTCTGCAGTCCTCCACAGAGGTGGAGTTTAGGCTAGGGCTAGGAGAAAATTGGTCCTTCAGTCTGTAAGCTTTGCCACCACTCTAGACTGGGTCCACCTGATGCCTGCCAGCTTCGGGCAATCAGGCCAGAGAGGGGGGCTCTGATTCAGTCCTGCCCTTGTAATGCCAGTCTACATTATCAATGGCCTGTGACTGGTACAAGTCGAAAACCCGGTTCTTCAGGTCAGGTCTGAATCAGACATTTGAATTTGCTCATTGGAGGGGTTTGTAATTCCATGTCTGTATTCACACCAGAGACTCAACTGGATGGAAAGTAGGAGGTCTATTTGTTCATTGCCAGAGAGAATGAACTTTGGTGCCATTAGAACAGAGAGATGGGTCTTTTGGGGGAAGGAGGGGGAGTTGCAGCCCTGTGGTGAAGCATTAGGTAGACCAAACAATCGGTGGGTTAGATTTTTGTTTTTCGTTTCTGTTTTTAATTTTTACTCATTGTTTTGGCACTGTGTGGACATAGCTTTGGTTATCTAACCGCCTTTCAAACTTTCCAAATATGTTTGATTTGGGGAGCACAGAGTTCTCTTCATTCACAGCTTGCACTTGGGGGACTCTGAGCTTCTGTTAAGGGTGACGGAAAAACTTGGGAACCGATGAGGTTGATGGTTGAACAACATAATGAACATGATTCATGTCATTAACCTCTACATAGATCTCTGGGTGGTGCAAACAGTTTGCGCCCAACTACTAACCCAAAGGTTGGCAGTTTGCACACACCCACCAGCACCGCAGAAGAAAGGTCTGGCGATCCGCTTCTGTAAAGATTACAGCCAAGAAAACCTTATGGAGCAGTTCAACTCTGTCACACATCTGGTCACCATGAGTCAGAATCGATTCGATGGCAAAGGGTTAAACTGTTAAACTGTACATGTGAAGATTGTTGAAATGACGGAGCTTTACTACATATATATTTACCACAATTAAAAAAAAAACCTCTGCGGAAGGTGGAATACCACACAATTTCTCCCGTAGCCGTTTATTAGAATGCTTCTCCACAGCTGAGACTGAGGGTTGATTAATAACAACCTTTTCTGTCCCTGGAAGTCCCCCTGGTTTTCAAGCCTGTTCATGCAGGTCTGGCCCTCTCTTCTCTGGGTGTCTTTTGTGTATAAAAACCCAAAACCCATTGCCAAAAATCCTCCCGCCCCATTCTGATATTCAGGTATGCTCGGGCCTTAACAGCTGGTTCAAAGGGACAATGGCCAGACTGAAAACAGCCACCCAGATGAGCAGCAGCTCAGGCAGACAGTGTATTTCTCTCCAAGGCATACAAATATGACAGCCTGCCTGTGAAGAACCCTCCCGTACTCCCAGGGGAGGGCCTAACAGCCTTTCAGAAAGGCCTCAGCAGCTCAGGAGAAATTCTCTTTTCCCTCAGAAGGGCAACGTGAATTTTCTGTCCCTTACAAAAATCTTCTGCCCTCTGAGTGAGAGAACTCACCCCAAAGATTGGTGCTTACCCCCTTTGCTAGCGCGAATGTCCTCACGGCCTGTTTTCCTTTTGTTTCCCACCGTTCAGAGTTTAATACCACTATCGTTTTGAAAGGAAATATCACACTCTCAACAGAAAAAGGCAAGGGACCCAAAAAAGTATGTACAACCCTAACGCGTGACTACTTTGCACATATATTAAAAATAGGAATTAGCACTTGTCACATTGATTAAGAAAGGAAAGAGGAAGTTGCCACATTCTGTTATGGTGGTAAAATCCTAGTTTAAAGATTTTGAAGTTGTAATGCACGGTTCTGTTTTAGGAGACTATTTCCCTGTTCTGGCAGAGGACCCAGGGTGATGGGGTCACTCCCACCCTCCCTGAATTAGCTGCCACCTGCTGTTCCCTCCAGCTGTCACATTCTCCCTCCTTCCCCACCCTAGTCTACACTCACGCACAGTGTTCTGCGGGGTTCTAGGCCCACGAATGAGAGGCCTGTCCTCTTCTCTTTCCCAGGCGCTCTGAGATCTGGCTTCCACCCCCACCTGCCTATGGCCAAGTGTGTGAGGGTAACAGGCTTTGGGGTGAGGCCTAGCTGGCTTCGAGTCCCTGCCCTCCTCCCAATTACTAGTTGTGTGACCTTGGGGAAGTCACTCAACTGTTCTAAAGCAACTTGTGCAGTTCAATAGCAATACAGACTCCCTGGGTGGTGCAAATGGTTAAGTGCTCCACTACTAGCTGAAAGATTGGTGGTTTGAACCCACCCAGAAGTGCCTCAGAAGACAGGCCTGGCGATCTGCTTCCAAAAGGTCACAACCTTGAAAACCCTATGGAGCAGTTCTACTCTGCACACGTGGTGTGAGAGTGACAGGCAGGTAAAGTTCTTAGAGCACAGAACACGGCACATAATGAGCGCTCAGCAATGAACTCCAACACACCCACTCTAGTGGCTTTGTCTCAGCCACCTGATCTCTGTCGCTCTCTTTGTGATACCTGCCTCCTCAGATTTCAGCAACTCTGTGCTCTCGGCTCTTGGTTCTACCCCTCTGTTTCCATTCTGCCTCCGTCTTCTTCTTGGCCCCTAAAGGAACCTTGTGCCCAAGTTCTGTCTTCAGCCCCTTCTCTTCTGCTCTGCCTCATAACTGTGGCTGTCTCATTCACTAACCACCTCTATGTCTCCAAACCATGTACAAAATGCCTCGCAGCAAAGGCCTGCATAGCCAACTACCTGCTGGAAAGAAAGCTCCTTCCTTTTACTTCTCTTTCTCTTTCTTCCTTGCCGCCTTCCTGCACTCATCCAGTGAGTGGTCACCTGTAATTATGGACATGTCATAGATTATATAGAGGTATTTACACATAACGTCTATATACTGGTCTCATATGAGGGCATCCAGGACCAGGCTGATGATCACTCACCCACACCCGGATCCTCTGTTCCTCCGGATGGTGTTACCACCTCCCACTGTCCAGGCTCAAAGCCTCAGAGTTATCTTCAAACATCCACTCCCCACAGCTCCTCACATACAGTTTGTTGCCAAGTCTATGGATTTGATTACGATTTTTCAAAAAAAACCTATCCTTCCTCTCTCTTCCCACTGCGCTGTCCTAGCTTGCACCCATGTTACTTTTTTTCTTTTTTAACAAATATTGCAAAATCCTCCTAGCTGGTCACTATCGCCAACCTTTCCCAATTCCAGTTCATATCTACAACCAGGAATTTAGTCATGTGATTCACTTGCCCGGGGACTTTCAGTGAGCCCTACATGTGTGTAAAACAAGGTATAAACTTACTACACCATGAAGACACTCCAAGTATCTCTTATAACCTTATCTCCCTCCTCAGCCAACCGAACTGATATCACATATGCAGCCAATTTGACTTGGTCATTAAGGCCACTCTGAATGCCAGGTCAACTTCTTTTTTTTTTTAATCAGATAGACACTAGACGCAACTTATGCTTTCACTGATGGGGTGGAAAGTTAAGATGATGTGTCTAACTTGGACTCTAAAGGACCCGTGGTGGCACAACAGTTAAGTGCTTGGCTGCTAACGAAAAGGTTGGTGGTGAGAACCCACCCAGCAGCTCCGCGGATTACAGCCAAGAAAACCCTATGAGGGAGTTCTACTCTGTCACACATGGGGTCGCTCTGTGTCAGAATCAACTCGACGGCACCCAACAACAACAACATCACTACCCAAAGCATGTAATGAAAGCTCAATAAATACTATCAAATGAATGATTTAACAATCATACTTAAGTGGCAATAGTGTTCACATGAAATCTTCCTGCTAATTTAGGCTCTAAGTCCTTTTCTCCCAAAGAGGGAAAATGGGATGTGGGCTTGGGAGAGAGGCAGAATGATCTGTCATGTCAGTCTGCATAAAGTGGGGTCTGAGTAGGGTGGTCATATAATTTATCATCCCAAATAGGACGCTTTTGAGAACGAAAGCGGGTACTAACCAAAAGAGATGCTGGAACAACAGGAGCAAACTGGGACTGTGCTGGGCAGCCCGAGCTGCATGGTCCCCCAGGGTCTGCTAGGGGTCCCAAGTGTTGAAATGGACACCCCCTCTTCAGAGGGTGCTGCGTCCAACACCCAGAGGGCAGCTGGCCCTGGGAGGTGGGTGCTCCTGGTGATAGAGTCTCCATTAGGGTGTTTCTGTTTTCTCTCCCAGGCACAGCACGCTCTTTCCTGCCAGAATCTTGGTCCCTTCTGTTCTCCCAGCCTGAAGCACCCTCTTCTCATCCTGCTACCTATCCCATAAACCCTATTCCACTCGGAATTTCTCAAAATGAGCTCTGTAGGTCTGGGCCTGGGAATCTGCTTTTTTCAATCAGCCTCTACCCCCTGCCCAAGAGCTATCTCAGTAGGCTGTCAAATTTTGAGGGTAAAAACTCATGGCTTTGAACCTCCTGCATGCAATTCAATGGCAGGCGTGGGGTGGAGGGCTGCTACTGAGGCCCTGTTGGCTGAATCGTCCCATGTTGATGATCTCTCTTTCTCTGACTTCCTGTTCTGTACCATGTATTTCGTCTCTTAGACATACCTTGGTGTACTCTCTGAGAGACAATGCGTAGGTCATCTCGAATTAATGACCATGCAGTAAATGGTTGCAATAGAACTTCCATCCCCGGGTCTCAACTTCCTGGTTAACAACCATTATTGAATACAGGACATTGTACTAGACTTTCTTGAGGAAGAAAATAAATGCAGAAGGAGGCATAGTCCCTTTCCTAGAGAAACTTAAAAAGTATGGACTCTGGAGCAAGACTGCCTGGGTTCAAATCCCAGCTCTGCCACTAACTTGGACAAGACACTTGACCTCTCTCTTAGTTTCTTCATCTACAATAAGGATAACAATAGTATCAGCTTCACAGGGTGTCGTGAGGATTGAGTTAAAATATGGAAAAGAGTAGTGATAACACCTAATAAGAGCTATGTATGTACAAATAAGAACTATTATTATCATTAGTATTATTATATAAAAGCATGATATTTATTTATATGAATACAAAACAGCATTCTTAGTGAAAAATACTATAATAGAAACTGACTCTTCAGTATTGAAGTCCTAAGTGCCGCAGAATGTGATTTACTAGGGCGCCTACCGGGATATTTTTGTATTTAAATGCACAGATAGAGTTAAAGATTGCTTTCTGTAAGTGCTGTATGTCAAATGAGGCAGAACAAGCTGGAATAAAAAAAAAAATCTTATGTGCCGTCCCCGTTTTAGGACTTCCCCTTCTTAATCTTATACTTAAATTCTTCTTTTACCTCTTCAAACATTTAAAAAATATTTTATTTTAAGATATTTTCAAGGTTACAGGAAAGTTACAAGAATAGCAAAACAAACTCCCATATATATTCATTCACCCAGATTCTCCAATTATTAGCTTTTACTACATTTGCTCTGTACATGTGTGTACGCACACGTGCACATATACACCCTACTACTGTCTTTTTCTGAACCATCTGAGAGCAAACTGCAGACATGAAGCCTCATTAGCCCTCCAGTATGTACTCGGCCCACCCTCAAAGGACATTTCCCTACACAACCACCATGTTGTTATTTTGTTGGTTGCCATCAAGTCGATTCCAACTCATGGCAGCCTCATGTGTGCAGAGTAGAACTGTGCTCCACAGGGTTTTCAAGGCTGTGACCTTTTGGGAGCAGATTACCAGGCCTTTCTTCCAAGGTGCCTCTGGGTGAGTTCAAACCAGCAGCCTTTCAGTTAATGGTCGAATATTTAACCATTTGTGCCACCCCGGGACTCCACATAACCACCATATAACACTCCAGATGAGAAAAATCAACACTGATTCAATGCTACTGTCTGATACTCAGACCCAATTCAAATTCCACCAACCATCTCAATAATATCTTTTTCCTTTCTGGTCCAGGGCCAATCCAGGAACACGTGTTGCCTTTAGTTGTCACGTATCTTCGGTCTCCTTCATTCTGAAACCAGAGTTTCTCTGTTGTTCGCTGTCACTCATGTCCTTGATAGTTTTAAAGAGTACAGGCCTTTCATTCCGTAGGGTGAACCTCAAGTTCAACCTGTCCAAGAATACCTAGAGGCCATGTATTCTTGGCAGGAATTCTTTAGAAATGATGCTAGTGCCTCACATCGGGGGACAAGCAATGCCATCCTGACCCACCACCAATAATGTTGACCTTAACCACTGGAAAAGTTGGTGTCTGTCAGGTTTCTCCACCATCAAATCCTCATTTTCCCCTTTGTAATTGAAGAGCATTTCGTGGGGAGGTATTCTGAGATAACACCAACATACTGCTCCTCATCAAACCTCACCTATCAGTCAGCCTTAACATCCATTGGTGACTCTGATTTAATCTACTTCCATTCTAATGATGGCCAAATGGAGATTTTCTATTTTTATTCACTCCTTCTACATTTATTAATTGGCATTCTACTGTAAAGAAGAGCTTTCCCTTTTTCCCATGTATTTATTTTGGTTAGTATAACTCATGGGTTTCTTTTAATTCAATGAATTGTAATCCATTGATATCATTCATTGATGGATGTTGTATCCTTTTGACATGTCCTCATTATTCTTTGAGCATTTCCCTAATTCCTGGCATGACAAGATGTTTCAGCTCAACTTGTACTTTTCCTGCTTCAGGAGCCCTAGTTTTTTTTTTTTTTACTGCAGGATGGTATTTAGAAACCAAGATCTAGGCACTCATTGAGTTCATTGCTACCGGGGTGTCATTGCTTCTAGGCCTTGTCAGTGGACAGAGCTAGAAAATAAATGCATGCACATATGCACACATACATCCAAAACTATTTGTATATCTGTATATTTAAATTTAAAAACTATGAATTCATATGGGTATCTCCAATTCCAGCCCAATATTTCAGTGTTCTTTCTGACCTTTCCCTTTTCTGTGTAAGTAAACCACTTCTCTAACAGTGAGAAATCTGGCTCCATTATCCTTGATATATTTACATTTTGCTCAGTTTTCTTATTTCCCAGTGTAACCAATCCCCCAATCACAGTAG